TTTTTTTTTTTCTGGTTTGCTTTAGTATATTGAACATCTTTCTAAAATAAACTATGAGAAAGCCATTTTAATTCAATGGAAGAGATGCTGAAAGATTCAAGATTAATATCCATTATTAGCACTGTAAAATGGAGGGAAAGATTCTGCCCCCAAGGGAGATGGAAGGGTCAAGCCGAAAGCCATCAATGGGAAAGATGAAGAAAGATGGGCTCTCAGAGCACGGGTTTCTGGCTAGAAGCTGTTCCTTGCTCATGGTGTCAATTTTTTCTCCCAGCCCCCTCAGGCTGATTCTCTAGGCTAAGATGGTGGAGATGGTGTTTGCTGTAGTTGAGAGAGGAAGTGATGGGCTGAACCCAGGGGTAGGGCTGAAAAGCTTCCCAAGTCACGCTTGGCTCAGGCTTCTCCAGGGAAGATGGACAGAGGGAAGAGAGGTGCTGGCACCAAGGAAGGGCTTGGCACAGGACTCTGGAAAGTTCAGAGGAGCTGGAGGCCCAGGTGGCAGGACACACTTAGATAGCAAGGAGAGAGTCTGCAATGCTCATACAAGGGACAGCAGTCCAAACCCCCTCATGCATAAGCAAAATGGAAGCTGACAAAGACTTGCCCTAACCTGTCTCCCATGTGGGACTGACCTCGCCCTATTAAGCCCTTGGTGGGCAGCCTGAGAGAGCGGGGGTCAGGGTAGCCCAGTGTTGGATAGGATACCATGGGAGACAGACCCCATGTGGTTTCTGGCTCATCTCCATCTCTCAAAGCTTTTGGACATGCACATAGTTGGAGGAGGTCTCCCTGGCGGAGAACTTTGGAAAGCTCCCTCTAGTGAGACTGGGCAGGGGTGGCAGGGTGGGGGTGGGGACTGCCTTGAAAAAACAGCTGAGGAATGGAGGGATGGGGATTTCCAGAGACTTCAGAGATGATGCCTGGTCTGATAGGAACCGTGATTCAATGCTCTGACTTGGGGCTAATTTGCCGAATGAGGTAGTTCCATCCTGAACTCCCTGGGCAGGGTTGGTCAGGGAAGACAGAAAACAGGCCTTCCCAAGACCCACAGGGATGAAAAGTGGCCAAGAAAAGCCAGATTTGGGCTCCCAGAACACAATGAGAAAGAGAGAGGGCCGTAAAGGATTTTAGGTGCAGGCTGAGCTGACGGTGCCTTCTATCCAAGATTCTGATCCTGACATTGGCTTGGAGGTAGAGACAGCCCTTCCCTGATCTTCCAAAACCCCGGGAGATAAAGGGACCAGGTGAAGGATGGGCTTTGGGGCATCCAAGGGTACAAGTATATGACGGCCACCCCTATGGAACTCAGCAGGGACCACAAAGTTCCAGCCTCAGTTTGTTCTCAGAGCAACAAGCACGGCATGGGGTTTGGGGGGGTTTCAGTCTTGGAGTCAAGGACGGGGTTGCAGGTCTGTCTTCTTGGCCTGGGAATATTTGGGATTCCCCAGCTAAGCCATCCAGATTACCCTTCTGGAATTGCTAGCTCTCTCCTCTCTCCTCAGTGGACAGGAGAGTGGGTGGGAGGGCAGCTTCACCCAGCGGGAGCCACCACCCCCTCTCCATGGGACCCCCAGCCCCTCTCCTGGGGCAGGACCCCCAGGGCTGCACAGGCGTGTCTAGATCTCCATGTCCATGGGGCGAATGTTGCCCATTTTGTGCTCTCTGACCCACAGCTCTCTGTCTTTGGCCGGGTCCACTTTTCTTTTTTTTTTTTTTCCTCCGGGTCCACTTTTCAAAGCAGTTGGTCCACAGGCTCCACTGTGCTTTGGTTGAACATGTCTGTCTCATGCTGCAGCTGTGTGTACTGACACAGATGTTGCCGGATCATCTCCACCCTCTCTACCTCCAGCCGCTCCAGCTCCAAAGTGGTGGTCACCATCTCTTCAAACCACTTGGACTGGGCCTGGTTGTAGGGGTCCACACAGCACATGAGGTCATCACCAGCCTATGTGGACTTTCTCCGTGCCTTCTTGATGTCCTCCTCTGTCTTGTTGCTCAGCTTGATCTCCAGCTGCTGAGTCTTCATCTTCAGGTCTCTCTGCCGCTCTGTGAGGGCTTTCCGGGGCTTCTCCACCGACGCGTAGCAGCTGGCGAGCTGCTTGCGGAGGTCAGCGATATGGTGGTCACACTTTTTCATGTCTTTCTTGAAGTTCTCACGAAAGTTCATTAGGGGCTTCTCTACCTCGCTGTGAAGCTTGGGGGAGAACTTGAGATGAACCTCTGCTTCTTCTGCCGGACTCTTCTTCACCTGGGCCCAGGCTTCTCCCAAGGAGCCTTCTTCTTGTGCAGCCAAGGAGTTCTGAGAGAGCTTAGCCAAATTCTTTGCATATTCTTCTTCAATCTTTATCCTCTCTAAGACGAATTCAGACATTTCTTTCTGCATTTGTTTGCCTTTCAGTTGCTTTTGGAGCAGCAGTTCGAACCCAGCCACCGTGCCATTGCCTTGGGGATCCTTCTTATCAGCCCAGAAGTAGTCACAGTAGCTCCACTCGGTTGGCTTTAGCAGTTGCTGTTCAGGCATGGTGTCTGGGTGAGGGAATGTCACACAATTTATCATCTTCTCTGTGGGGTCAACTTTATTTTCAAGATTATATATTTTGTCTTCATTGCCTGAGGTTCTATCTTCCAAATGGTCTTGTCTGTGGGTGATACTTTCCATTGAACTTTTAAGTTGGTTTAGTGATTCCTTCCCTTCAATGATTTCTTCTTTATTTCTTTTCAGGACCTCTAATAGATCTTTACAGAAGTGATCTTTCATCTCCTGGAGCGATTCTGTTATTTTACTGCAAAACTCCTGTGCCTGCTCTCTTATATAATTCTTTAAGTTGTAGAACAGTTTTACTAAATACATCCTCAACTCCTTCTCTGATATTTCTTCCATGGATTCTCTTATGGGAGCAGCTTGGTTTGTTTGGAGCACTTTATTCCCTCGTTTTTTTTTCATTTTGTTTGTTTGTCTTCCAATCTAGCCGTGTGTTCTGAGGCAGGATAGTTTCTACTCTGTAGATTTGAAGTGTCCCTGAATGTTTCCAGAAACTCACAGATCCAGGATCCAGTTTCTGCAGGCTCTGCCACACTACAGGACCCAGGAGGCTCACTGACCAAGGACGATGAATGAACTCCAGGAGAGAGTCAACCCCAGCCCTTTTTTTAAAAAAAAAAAATTTTTTTAGTTATACATGGATACAATATTTTTATTTTGTTTATTTATTTTTATGTGGTGCTGAGTATTGATTCCAGTGCCTCACATGTGCAAGGTAAGCACTCTACCATTGAGCCACAACCCCAGCTCATTTTAAAAATTGTATTTAGAGGGGCTGGGGTTGTAGCTCAGTGGCAAAGTGCTTGCCTTACATGTGTGAGGCACTGGGTTTGATCCTTAGCACCACATAAAAACAAACAAAATAAAGATATTGTGTCCATCTATAACTAAAAAAAAATTTTGAATTGTACTTGGAGACTGGGTCTCCTTAACTTGCTTAGGGCCTTGTAAAATTGCTGAGCTGGCCTCAAACTTGTAGTCTTCCTGCCTCAGCCTCCTGAACTGCTGGGATTACAGGTGTGTGCTACCACGACTGACTGACAGTTTATTTTCTATTTCATAATTATGAAACAATTATTTCTTCACAAATACATAATTAACCCTTTCAATCTATAAACATACATACATGTTTATGTTTATATGAGGATAGAGAAGTATGATTTCACAAAATCAGGATGTTATATTCATTATTTTGAGTAGTAGAGGTAGGAAAGCAAAGAGGGGGTAAGGAAGATTATTATTTATTTTGTTCCAGTGTTGTGAACAATTGTGCATTTGGATTGTTGTGAAATATAAAAATAGAAATTAGAAACCATCCATGGCTCCTATCCACCTGCAAGCTCCTATCACCTCTTCCTTGTACTTCTGTGTTAGCCTGCACTTCCTTTTGTGCCTCTTCCCATATAGTGTCCCATCGAATAAGTGGCAGAGTATTTAAATGAGCCAACACAGAACATAGCACTCTAAGTTTAGAAACCTCATCTGTGCCAGGTGTGGTGGCACATGCTGGTAATCCCAGTGCCTCTGTAGACTGAGGCAGTGGGATTGCAAGTTTGAAGCCAGCCTTGGCAACTTAGTGTGATTTTTCTTCAAAATGAAAAAAAAAATGGCTGAGGACAGGGACAGAAACAGGGTTGGGGCTCTGGCTCAGTGGCAGAATGCTTGCCTAGCACATGTGAGGCACTGGGTTCGATCCTTAGCACCGCATAAAAATAAACAAAAGGCATCTGTTCATCTACAGCTACAAAATAATTAAAACAAAAATGCCTGAGGATGTAGCTCAGAGCTACATAAGAGTGCTCTTGGGTTCAATCCCCAGTGCTGGAGAAGGGGAAAAATAAAGAAAGAAAACCTTTAAAACTTTCCTAGATTTTTCAATAAATTCCAAAGTTCTCTTCGTACTCTGAAAATTCCTGGCTGATTTGTACCTTTCCACCTTGCCAGCTCCTCCTCTTTGTTCCTGTCTCTCCCCATGCCCTTTGAATTCCAGCCTCAACTCAGCTTGTACGATGTGAACAACTACATATTCTTTCCTTGAGGCATCCTTATATCCTACTCCTTCTATTCTCCTTGTTCTTTGCCTTAGATTTCCCCTGCCATCCTTCACTTTAGTGGCTCCTTTTCATTTTTCAGTGCTCAACTTATATGACTCTTCCTCAAAGAAGACTTCTCTGACCCATCTTATTTCTCTTTCCCCTTCTATTCCTGTTATGTTCTTTTCTAGTCCTGTTATATTTATTTATTTTTAATTTTTTAATATCATTTTTTTAGTTGTAGTTGGACATAATACCTTTGTTTAATTTATTTTTTTAATGCAGTGCTGAGGATTGAACCCAGGGCCTCCCATGTACCAGGTGAGCACTCTACCACTGAGCCACAATCCCTGCCCTTATATTTATTTTTGACTAGTTTTTAGTATAAAATAAAGCATGATTAGAGAAAACTACACAAAACATAGCTAAGCTTAAAGAGTTATTTTAAAATGAACACCCTTATAACCATCATCTAGGTCAAGAAGGAGAATGTTGTCAGCCATCCTATAAGACCCTTTTTGTGTCTCATTCAAATCGCAGCTCTCTCCTTCCCTACAAAAGTAGCCATTGTCTTTTTTTATTATTATTTTTTAGTTTGTTCTAATTAGTTATACCTAACAATAGAATGCATTTTGACACAACATACATGAACAGAGTATAACTTCACATTCTTCTGGTTGTACGTGATGTAGAATTATACTAGTCATGTAATCATATATGCACATAGGGTAATAATGTCTGATTCATTCTATTATCCTTCCTACCCCCACACCCCGTCCCCAGTAGCCATTATCTTGACTTTTTTGGTAAAATCACTTCTTTGTGTTTCCTTATTTTTATCACCTAAGGATCTATTCTTAGACATTATAGATTTTCTTCTTTTTTAAGGTTTTTTTTAGTAGTTACCCAGAGACTATAATTAACAGCCTGAATTTATGACACTATTTCAAATTCATATCAACTTAATTTCAATTGCATATAAAAATTGTTACTTTACAGCTGTACTCCCACCTTGTTGTTATCATGACTTATATCTTTTTGTTCATCATATGCTCTATAATATACATTTAGGATTATTTTATGCATTTGTCTTCTAAATCATATAAGAAATAAAAATGAAATTGTAAACCAGAAATGCAGTAATACTTTAAAAAAATATTTGTTTAAGTTGTAGATGGGCACAATACCTTTATTTTATTTATCTATTTTTATGTGGTGCTGAGGATTGAACCCATTGCCTTACATGTGCTAATACTGCTTTTAATTTTTATGTAGTTTCCTTTTCTAGAGAGATTTATTTCTTCATATGGTTTCAAGTTGCTGTCTAGTATCTGTTTTGACTTGAAGGATGCTGTTTTGCATTTTTTTATAAAGCAGGTCCACTGGTAGTGAATTCCTTCAGCTTTTTTTTTTTTTTTAAAGCTGGGAATGCCTTATTTGCCCCATTTTTGAGGTTTTTTTTTTTTGGATACATAATTCTTGGTTGACTTCTTTCTTTCAACACTTTAAATATACCAATTCCAGTATTGAGGTTCCTCAAAATACTAAGCATGGAACCACCATATGACCCATCTATACCATTCCTCAGTATTTATCCTAAAGAATTGAAGTCATCATATCATAGGGTTACAGGTATACTCATGTTTTATAGCAGCACAATTCACAGTAACCAAACTGTGGAACCAGCCTAGGTGTTCATCAATAAATGAATGAATAAAGAAAATATGGTACATATAGACAATGGAGTTTTTTTTTTGGGGGGGTGTATACCAGGGATTGAACTCAGAGGCACTCAACCACTGAGCCAACCCACCAGCACTATTTTGTATTTTATTTAGAGACAGGGTCTCATTGACTTGCTTAGCGCCTTGCTTTCGTTTAGGCTAGCTTTGAACTTGTGATCCTCCTGCCTCAGCCTCTCAGGTGTGTGCCACCACACACCTGGCCAGCAATGAAGTTTTATTCAGTCATAAAGAAGGAATTTATATCATATCATTTTCAGATAAATGGATGGAACTTGAGACTATTACGTTAAGCAAATAAACCAAACTCAGAAAGTCAAGGTATATGTATGTTCTCTCATGTGGAAGCTAGAGAGGAAAAAAAGAAGGGTGGGTGGAATCTCATAAAATTATAAGGGAGAGTAATAGAGTATGGGGACCAGGGGGAGGGGAGGGAAAGGGGAAATACTAGGGAATGGCATTTTCCAAATTTTATTTTTATTGTGTGCATATGTATGAATATTTAAAGTTGATAATTTTAATCTCCATTTATGTTCAGGTTAACTGATTCTTTTTTTAAATATTAATTTTTTAGTTGTAGTTGGACACAATACCTTTATTTTACTTATTTATTTTTATGTGGTGCTGAGGCTCAAACCCAGGGCTTCACACGTGCTAGGCAAGCACTCTACTGCTGAGCCATAACCAAGTCCCCTGATTATTTCTTTTGCTTGTTCAAATCTGCTGTTGAAATCCTCTAGTGAATTTTAAATTTTCAATTATTTTTACTTTTTAGCACTAGAATTTTTATTTGGTTCCTTTGAGAATATTTGGGACAATTGATTTAAAATCTTTGTTTATTAAGTCCAATGTCTGGGCTTCTTTAGGGTTGGTTTCTGTCACTTTTTAGTTTTTTTTTCTTTCTTCCTGTGAATGGATCTTGTATTCTTGTTTCTTTGCATGCCTGGTGATTTTTTTTTGTTGAAACCTGCATATTTAAATATTTTATTGTAATAATTCTGAAAATCAGATTCTCCCATTCCCTCAGGGTTTTGGTTTTTTTTTTTTTTTTTTTTTGAGAGCTGTAGTCATCTGTTTATTTAGTGACTTCTCCAAATTATTTTTGTAAAAGTTGTATTCCTTATTGTGTGTTATCACTGAGGTTTCTTTTCTTTTAGCTTATCTTGTCATGTTTTGACAGAAACTTCCTTAAGCTCAAAGAACTAAAATAAACAACAACAAAAACCCACCTTGCCGGGTACAGTGGCACATGCCTGTGTAATCCCAGTGGCTCAGGAGGCTGAGACAGGAAGATCGCCAGTTCAAAGCCCGCCTCAGTCAAAGCCATGTGCTAAGCAACTTAGTGAGACCTTGTCTC